CCAGGATACTGGCCGAATCAAGACTCGCTCTCAGGCGCGCAAAAACCCAGACCAATTCACTACCGTGCCCGCACCACTGAAGATCGTCAAGGTTCTAGTCGAAGAGCTGGGCGCAGCATCCGGGAACAAAGAAATCGACGCCGCCACCGCGGCAGCCCTGGACGAAGCTGACAGCGACGACGGTGACGACGACTGGGAGGATCTCCCCAGCCAGGTCCTGGATCTCGGTATCGGGGCCACGAAACAGGGGCTGATGAGCTTCGGTGAGGGTGGCTCCGAAAGTGTCTTCGGTGTGCGTCGCCGAGACGATGAAACGCAGGGCTTCTTGGCAGATTTCTTCCGACAGGCCTCCACGCAGCCTGGTTTCCAAGAATTGTATGCGGCGCTGACTCCGGATGAGCAAGCTAAGCTACAGAGCCTGTGAATGGAGCTGGGTGAAATCTTACTCGAGACTGTTGTTGCGAGTACCCTTCCCGGGGCCCGGGTTATTAATGGTTTGATGTATGGATGTCAATAAAACATGAAAGCAATTTTATCTGTCGCTTGTACGGCGTAAACATACCCCCCTTCCCCCCCCCTTTTCCACCTACCGTACCGTAAATGAGCATTAGCAATCCTTGTAGCAGGGACCCTGGAAGGTTCCGGCCTAGACCGAAGTGGGGTTGTCCATGAATGCCAGTTCTTTGTTTGCATCCCCCTTCCTAGGCCTGAAAGTGACTGCAATATTCTGTTTTCTTTGTTGAATTAACTTTTGGCTAGAGGTCTAGCCATTTAAGTCTTCAGGCTCTGACAAGAGATAATGATAAGTAATTAGTGGTGATGATATAATATATAGTGACTTCCAAGGTTTGCACCCTTATTTTGTGCAATCTACAACCTAGCTCGAAACAAAAGTACATATGTACCCTTAGCCAAGTGAAGTAACGAGTCAGGATGTACCCTTGGCCAAGTGAAGTAACGAGTCAGGACACCCCTGTTTCTGCAGACCCTCCCCATTTCAGTCAGAACCACCCAGGGTCTATGGATCTGTCCCGTGTGGGGACGTACCAGACAGCCGGGTCCAAGACCAGGGGCCATCCTTGTTTCGGCTTTTGCCTCTTTTTTTGCCTTTTCATTTTTGCTTCTTCTGGCGACTTTTTCTTCTTTTTACGAATATTCCCTCTCATATCTCCAGCGGAGTTAGGCTCTATCTCCATCTCATCTGGCTTGGGTATGCCTACAGTGTCTCTTGGCTTCCCATTCTGTGTTAGTGCTCACCTTTTACCGCTTCGTGGTCACCGGGTATAACTGAGCACGCCATTACCTCCAAGGCTCCACCTAGGGGGCCCCGGAGGGCCCGGGCTATGACGATGGCTTAGCCAACCAACCTCAGTAGTTAGGTACCTATACATAACAACCTACCATTCATAGCGAGAATGAATAGAATCCCAGTGGCTTACTAGTCGCACCCTTGACTTCCAAAATTGCTGGTTACATTTACGAATCAACTTAACCTCCAGGACTTGGGAAGCTATCTGGTTGTTTCTACCCCCAGGCATATCTCTAGTCCGTCACCGTAGCGCCGACACTTTGAACCCTTGCATTGACACAAATACCTTACTTCTGATATGACTATTGGCGGCAGCTGTAGCTTAAAGATATGGAAATAAATCTTGGAAAGATACGGAATTGGCGGAGCGGACCGGGAGGACCGACCCGTTCGCCTGAAGCCTATTCATTCCACGGATCTCGCAACGCGGGGTAACCTTGGAACGTCCCTGTGCCTTCCAAGCTTTCGCTGGGAAATGGCGTTGCTCCTTTCAACCGCCTTCAATAACAATTGCGGCTATGAGGAACTGCAAGTTACAGGAGCGCACAGAGGCAAAAAGGCCATAACAGGCCTTAGCGAGGATCTAAGCCTATCTTCAGGACTCTGTGTCGACAACGTATGTATATAGTTGTGGTAGCCTACGTATCGTTTGATTGCGAGGTATTGGAGTAAATGAATTAATACATACATAAGACTATGTGGCAATTGGTATTCGACAGGCGACTAGTTAACTGATCTAGTTATTAATAAATCGCCTTTTCATGGATCACGAGATCATTCTGGAAGCCGAGCATCTCCCTTGTCTCCTACAAGAGAAAGGGCTCGTTTGGATACTGGTAAAAGCGAGGTTTTTCCCGCATATATCCCTATTTGTCTATTGGAGGCGCATGAGTATACATCGTGACCGGATAGAGATGAGCTTGTTCCTTCTTATCAGAGAGGAAGCCGGAAGAAATCGATAATGTTATATTGTGTTATTTGAACTGACGGAATAAGGGGAAAGAGAGGAAAGGAAAGGAGAAGGAGCCGTTAAAGCATTCATTATAATATACAAATTGAACCTTAGTAGAAGCTTCCTTCCAGCCTAGCTCTAGCCACTTGGGATCCAATGATGGTAATATTACTCTGAGACTATGGTCCCCTATGGATACTCAGCTTCCTCTCTCTCTGCTTTTACGCATCCGGGGAATTTTCTCCAGTGACCATACTTTGTACAAAAAGCTTTAGGGTTGTAGGTATGTTTACATCTTTATAGATAAGCTGGAGGAATCATCATGATATTAGCATATCATATGAAGTGTCACGCAGGCTATACATATCTTTGAGTAGCTAAGTAAGAATATCATCTCGAAAACTCAATGATGACCAGATTGTAGATACTAACGGCCCTATGTGACCTAAATCCACGTAATTCACACATTAGAAAGTTGTCTAGCAGATCACAGTGGTAGATTAATTGTCAGGACCACACTTGACGACCCTTTGACGTCTTGGAAAGTTCCAAAGTTTATCATTAAAAAGAGCCTTGGAATATTATAAAATCTTTGCGCCAAGGAGTCCAGTGCAGCAGGTGGGCCGGCACACCCCAGTCAACCAGGGTTGAAATCCCGGGACTAACCATGGAATCTTGGAATTTTGGAAATGCGCTAATCGAAAATCCAAATCCCAGTGGGCATACTTGGGCAGACCGATTTGGAATGGGCGACTTTCCCGTACCGGGCTGTCGGATTTCCCACTGCGGGGTCGAACAGAAACAAAGGTACGGAACCGGCCAGGTGGTAGAAAATATTAATAAGTGGCTACGCTAGTGTTCCTCCCGGTATCCTCTCTCTCGGGTTTCTTAGACTTGGAATTGATAGCTTCATTTCACTTCCCCTCTTCTACCTTCTCTCTTCACATAAAAAAAAAAAAAAAAAACCCCCCTCGCTCTCCTTTTCCCTACCTCTTCGTCTCTTCGTCTCTCTCCTCTTTTTCTTCCCAATATCCCTACCTCCCCTGTCTCGCCATGACACAACCCAACCTCAATGAAAGCATCCAAGTCGACGTAAGTAGACCATTCCCTTTCACTAGACTTCTTTGATCCCCATCCCTACCTCATATCCCCGTATCTCCCAGCACCCAAGAAAACAGTTCACCTTCCCTCGCCGATCTCATAACTCCAATTCCCACTCTTCCGAATTTATAATCTAATCTCCAATAATCTCCAAACCCCAACTAACGAACCCCCCAGACAAGCGACGATGACTCCCTCTTCGACATCAAAACCATCTCAGACTCAAATCTTTCCTTTGCCTCTTCTGTTCGAGACTACAGCTACGAAAATGGCCGCCGCTACCACGCCTACCGCAACGGCCAATACCCCTTCCCAAACGACCAAGAAGAACAAGACCGCCTAGCTCTAACTCACCACCTCTTTAAACTGCTCACAGGCGGGGATTTGCACCGCGCACCAATAAACGACTCTAATCCGCGCCGTATTCTAGACATCGGCACCGGCCCCGGCGAATGGGCCCTGGAAATGGCCGAAGACTACCCGCAGGCGGACATCATCGGCACCGATCTGAGCCCCATCCAGCCGAACTGGGCGCCGCCTAATTGCCGCTTCTTTATTGATGATGCGGAGAGTGATTGGACTTTCTCGCCCGGTGAGGCGTTCGACTATATCCATGCAAGAACTCTGGCCGGTGGGATTGAGGATTGGCCGAAGCTGCTTAAGCAGGCTTATCAGCATCTTAAGCCGGGCGGCTGGTTTGAGGCGCAGGAGTTTGAGAATCTTGTGTGGTCCGACGATGGGACCCATGAGAACGCTACCGCGATCAATAGCTGGGCGGAGCTGTTGACTCAGTCTAGCAAGAAGTTTGGGAAACGGATGGATGTTGCACCGCAGATTTCGCGGTGGATGACTGAGGAAGGGTTTGCAAATGTCACCGATGATATTTATAAGGTATGGTGTCACTGTCTTTGCGGCTGTTGTTGCGCATACTGACTTAACTTTCAGAGTCCTGTTGGTGGCTGGGCCAAGAACCGCCGCTACAAAGAAATCGGTCGCATCGGCAGGGTGTCTATCATGGAAACCATAGAGCCGTACTCGCTGGCTCTCTTTACCCGTGTTCTGGGCCTTTCATACCAGGATGCACAAGAGCATATGGAGAATGCGCGGGCCGAGCTGATGAGCAACTTGCACCACCTTTATGTGCGCTTCCACTTTGTCTACGGACAGAGGCCTTTCGACGATGCATCTACTGATTCCGAGGCATCTTGAGACTTGGGCCTGTGGCAGCGACAATTATGATAATGATACCCCATGACCTAAAGTTGAGATTGAGATTACTTCTGTTCCTATCAAATTCTCCAATCTCTGTCGCCATGAAAGACGGCTTGACGAGTATATTTTCGTGCATTAAGGTATAAAGGCTCCTATGTGCTAGATTTTTTGCTGCATTATGTTCATATTCATGTGGCCATGGACGATATCGTGAAGCATGAAAGGACGGGAATATAATGTGGTGCAGTGCGGTGATTCTGTCACAGACGATCTCACCGTGACTTTACCTGCCTGGTATCGACCAGCGATGCAGGCTATATGGTCAATATATCCACCGGTTTTTCCGGAGGTCCAGCTCTGGACCTGTCCCGAACCACTTGATTACACGATGCCAGGGCTGGGGTTGACTGTGCGCTCATGCCGTCCTCACCGCCCATTCCCAATCCCGAGAACCCGACAAACCCCTGAAACAGCCTCTTCGGGTGAAGGACTCATCCGCATGACCTGAATCACCTGAGGTAGACTTTGCTCGTCACAACTGGCAATTGTTTCTAGCAGGATCTCCAGCAGTTCCTGTTTTCCCTCAACCCTCCAGGAGCTTGGCATTGAGTTCATGATGGTATTCGGTGAAGGACGGTCCTGGGAAATGGGGCTGGCATGACTTGAAGTACTTGAGGTATCGCTTGCCACGGGTATCGGGGTGGGTATGGAGAAGGGTGCATCTGTATAGATGTTGATGTTTGTGTTGGTGGTGGGGGCAGTATTGGCAAAGGGATTGATAGTTGAATAATGAGACGGGTTTTGGTATGTGTGCGTGTGCGGAAATTGGTTCGGACTAGGATTCGGATTCCCATAGGCATTTTGCCCCCACTGATGATATGCATGAGGCCTGTCATCTTCATTTGGTATTGAATATTCCTCCCCGTAATGTGTTACTGTTGATGTTGGTATTGGTGCAGGGTAGCCAGTGTGTTGTAGTGTTTTGCCTCCGTCAAGCATATAATCATCACTATTGGTTCCGTATAGCGGTGGGTGGTGCATCCCTAACATCGCATTCTGCGCGTGTAACCCGTGCACTGGGAAACCCTGCATCGGTACTGGAATTGTTCCAGAAATGTCCCCAGGAGCGAAGGTCATGCCCCCGGTATAATATCCAGACATTGTCGCGTCTTCCGGAGTATCTATCTAAAGTTAGCACAAGCGCTAGAAACAAGCGGAGTGAGAATAAAACACACTTCCAAAAGCAAGCGATTCAACTGTAGTCGACCCATCCAGCTCCGCAACTTGCGGCGCATACCCCGTCGCGATAGGATAAGCCGAAGCCGAAGCCGACCGCGACGAAGTAGATATTGACCCAGTCCCATTCTCACTCCCCGTACTATCAGGACTCGTAACAGTCACAGAGTTTGTCATGGTCGTGATCGACGAGGATGGCGACGACCCGCGCCAGCTGCCTTCACCAGTATCCGGGGTACCTCTAGCCGAGGCAGAACCAGCGCCAGCGCCAGTCGCATACCCAGAGCCATTGCCATGGCCACTGCCGTAGCTATATCCCGTGTTCGTAGGTGTGTGTTGTGTCCAACTCTGGCCGTTCCCCGGGAAAGGCCCGCTCGTTTGGTCCGGGCGCGGGCGTTGCCGCGGGCGCTGGCGCTGGCTTTGACTCTGACTCTCGCTATAGTTTGGCTCTCGTATACCCTGGTTTAGGCGCCCCCGCAATTGTGCGACTTCGCGGCGTAGTTGGTTGATTATCTCGGATTGACTGATGTGGGCGCGATCTTCGGCCGTTGTTAGGTAGGTGCATTCTGCTTCGAGACCGCGGATTATGCAGGCGTGACATGGGATAGAGCGGTCGCACTGGCAACCAGAGAGGGATGATTAGTGACTGGGGATTAATTTAAAGGCGTAAAGATAGTAATGTGGGAGTGTCGAGAGATAGAGCAGTATCCGGGTACCTTCACTTTGCGCTCGCGACATCTGAGGCACGACTGCTGCGGACGTATCTTTGTCTTTGAGTCTGGGGGCATTGCGAGAATACCACTCTACTGTAGTAATATTGGTACAATAATGTTTTCAAAGATCAATTCCCCAGAGGGATAATCGGAGAAATCGGAGAAACCGTTGAAGTTGAGGGTGGGGGGTTCCACTCAGGAAAGTCCGGTTTTTTTGCATCCCGGTCGTCCATGCAAGTTCAGCTGTGCCACAACATATCTTTAAGGGAAAAATGTGATGAATCGAATTTCGGCTCCATTTTTTTTTTCACACTGACTCTGGGCGAAAGCTCTGCGGCACTCTGATTGGGCCCCGAATTGTCTTTCGTGAAGATCGGCATGTCTCGCAGATCTTGGATCGGATTCAGGATGCCCTGCGAGGAACCTTTGTGTTGTATGCCGTATATGCTACTCTATCAAAGATGCTATATGTCAATGATACCGTCACGATGATTATCACGCCCCCACGATTACTGCAGATCCCAGTGCGTTGTAGATACGACCTCGGTGCGGGGAATCCTTGAAAGTGAGCTAGTGAAGGGAGTGAAGAGAGTTGAGCGAAAGAGTTCTGGATAACATAAATCGGCCCGAGATGCTGGTTAAAAGCATGCGCCATTAAAGCATATTACATCTTCTCTCGTCTTGTCTATAATCCCCTGTTGCATAGAGACTAATAAAGTCATTCTCGGCTAGCTGGGCAACCCGGAGCATGGCCGGCCTCCACTGAGAACCCAAGCTTATCCTCAGCACCTCCTATGGGGTTCAATAACTGGGCGCGCTTCGGGTGCGATCTGAACGAGACGCTCTTCGCCGAAACAGTGCAGACAATGCTAAAACGCGGCCTCGATGTAGGTTATGACCGCCTTAGGCTGGATGACTGCTGGATGCTCCACGACCGTGCGGAGGACGGCTCCCTGGAGTGGGACACCGACAAGTTCCCCCACGGTATCCCTGGCTCGCCAACTACACGAAAAGCAATGGCTTCCACCTCGGCATTTACCAAGATTCCGGCAACTAGACCTGCGGTGGCTACACAGGCTCATACAGGCACAAGATGCAGGATGCCGAACTACTCGCTAGCTGGGGCATCGACTACCTCAAGCTAGACGGATGCAATGTCTGGGCTGAGGACGGCAACTCACTCCGCGAGTACCGTGTCCGCTACATGCAGTGGAACGATGTGTTAAGCGCAATGTCAAATCCGCTTATTTTCTCTAATTCCGCGCCTGCATATTTCGAAGACGAGGTGCCAAACTGGGCGGTCATTATGAACTGGGTCCCAGAATCTGGCGGGTTGGCGCGTCACTTGGCGGATGTGATTGTCTATTCCAGCAATGGTAGTGCCTGGGATAGCATTATGTATAACTACGACTTCCACGCGCGTCTAGTGCGCTACCAGCAACCGGGCTACCATAACGACCCGGACTTTCTGATCCCAGACCACCCGAGCCTCTCAAAATCACGCTTTGCGCTAATCTCAGCGCTTGCACCCCCTCCCTCTCGGACGAGGAAATTGCATTCCTTAGCAACAAGGCTCTCGTCGGCGTGAACCAGGACCCGTTTGGGGCAGCAATCTGCTCTCGGTAGTCGCGATGGCACCTTTGACGTCCTGTCCCACTCCCTGGAAAACGGAGACAGAATACTTACCACGTTGAACCGTGGAGCCGATGCGGCCACAACGACCGTCTCTCTCGCGCGCCTCGGCCTGTCGTCTCACTCTGGCCGCAAGTATGATGCACACGATCCCGTCACAGACCAGGTCTCAACTATTGACTCTGCTATCGAGATCCAGCTCGATTCTCATGTTGCCAAGGTTTACCGTATTGCGCTGCCGATAAGCTGTACTAAGACCACCCCTACCGGGATGGTTTTAAATACCCCGTCTGGTCTTTGTATGACTGCTTCTACTGATTCTGTGATCTTTGAAAAATGTAGTGCCTCAGATTCCCAGGCCTGGTTTATATATTTTGGCATCCAGCGAAGGTTCGGCGTGGTCTGGCATGTGGCAGCAACAGGCGATGCCACTAAGCTAACTTTGAGCCCTCTGTCGGACGCGTCGGTTTGTCTTGCTGCTGGGGATGGAGTCTCGCTTGCTAAGTGCCAGAGTGGTATTGGTATTACCTGGGATAATTACATTTCGGGACATTTGCGCAATTCGTCTGGGAGTTGCTTGACTCAGAGCAAGAATCAAGCCAGTATCGAGGAGTGTGTGATTGATAGTGTTGGGCAGATCTTTGGATTGCCGAGTGGAGTCCATCTGGCCAATGGGAGGCTTAAACTAACCTTGATACGGATTAGCGTAAAACTTATGTCCGAACCACGTGACTTGATGTGGGTCTACCTTTTGTATATGATGCACCTGGGTAGGTGTGACCCTGCCCAATCAGAGCAGCATCAAAGACCTAAAAGGGCAATGAAATTTCAGGCTTATCAACCACACGAGGAATCCTATACAATAAACCGGAAGATTAACAGACACCCTAGCCTTCATCTAGAGAATTTGATCCAGTAGGAATGGAAGGGCTACGTCCGCAGGTGTAAAGCTTCATCATTTGTACATTCCAAGGTTCTGCCTTATACACAAGATGATCAGACCCAGCGGTAGATCCATACAACCAACAACAATCTTCACACTTTTCCCAAGAAATTCTGAAAAGTCTACCCTTGCAAAGAAAACCCAACACCCTCCCCAGTCCCCATCTCAACAAGATTAGCCCTCATCCTTTCAGCCCTCTCCCCAAGGCCAAAAGCAGCATCTTCACGATGAACCCAGGCCCCAACCCCATGCTGCAACACCGCTGTAGCCCTGACCTTCTTCTTCTCCTCAACATCATCACCCCCATCTCCAGAAGCCTTCAACCCAAGACTCCCATGCAAAGTCAACCTCGTCTCAACCCCACCCTCACTCTTCCCCTGATAAACTCCTCGATGCAAAATATTACTATTATAAAACACCGCATCTCCAGGCTGTAATTGAACAACTAACTGGCCCGGTAACTCAGCCGCATAAGGATCGGCCTCACGCTCGACCTGCGTGCGTGCACGCGCATGCGTCCCCGGCACAACAATTAGTGATGCATCAGGACACAGCGCCAAGTTATACTGGCAATGCGACTGACGTCCGCCAGGTGCCTTAGCTGCAAGCTGGGCTAGCTCTTCCTCGGCAGTTGCGTGCTCGGAGATATCGTCGCGGTGCCAGCGGAGCTCGAAGTCCTTAGTTTCCGGCGCCACGAGCAGATTGAACAGTTCCATGACGAGCGGCTCAGTCTCGCTGCTGGCGCCGTTGTCAACGCCCATTAGCTCCTCCGCTACGGCGAGAATAGTGGGAGAGAAGTAGCATCGTGCGAAACTCTCCCGTCCTGGCATTTCGGGATGCATTAGGTGCTGCACTCCCCAGATTCCGCCCTCCGAGGCGGGCGGTGCTGTGGTCGGCCATGGTGGAAATTGTTTGGGGACGGTGCGGAAGTGTGGCCAGCTTCCGTTGCGAGTTAGGGTTGTTGCTTTCGTGGCAATCTCGCGGTAGTGCGATACCTCGGTTGGGGTTAGGAGGTTGCGGACTACTACGAAGCCATCGCGTTTGAGGGCGTCTAGGTTTGGGGTAGACATTCTAGTAGAGAAAAGGTGAAAGAGTAAGACAATTCGATCTCGAGTACCTGGAGATCGGGGAGATATCTGAAGATCTAAAGTTGAAATTTATATCTGCGGGGTTGGAATAGCCTAAAAACAATACGACGCAATGTCGCATTTACTCTGGAACTTGGATGTTACCGTGGATCTCCAGATGTGACCTTTGCTTGGTACTGTTATTTACATACATTATACAATGTATATATGTGTATATTTTATCTCCATAGATTGTACTGTCTGATTCTAAATAAATAATCCCAAACATAACAAGTTGCAATCTCTTTGTTTCAAAACAGGAACGTCATAGGGATCACCGAATGCCAAGATCAGCCAAGAGCCAGAGGGCTGAGTCCTCTGCCACAGTTTGAGATCTCACTTGGTCTTTTTTCCACTTGGAACCCTTTTTATTTACTTCTTTAGCTTCTGTTTTTTTGGGATATTCCATATTATCCCCTTGCATTTCGAGAAAAATACCACGGCGCAAATCTCAACCCCGCCATGCCCCTCCTCCATGCGGGCTCCGCCCTGCTAGTACTGCTCCTGATACTCCCGCAGGTACACGCCTTTGGAGCTGGAAATATCGCCTCTATCTCCGCTGTCGAAGGGAAGAACTGGCGCCACGGTGATATCGAAGATGTCCTCAAGACGCTGGCTTTCATCTCCGGTCACAAATGGACCTCCACCATGATCAAGCGCGTCTATTTTGGTAACTGGTTGCGTGATTAGTGAGTTATCAAAGAATCGAAAGATCGACTTGTATTCTGACAGCTTCTGTAGCTCGCAGGCAATGGATGTTGGAACTCTTAAAAATTTGCAGGCCGATACGATCCGTGTTTTGGTGTGGGTCCTTTCGTTCCTGAGCTTCGGCTATGCCACGGCTGAATTCGAGGTGACTTCGGATCGATTGGGTGTTTACCGTCCAGAGGAACATATCGAGTAAGTCCAGCTCAATTCTCTATCCTTGAGAAGTTGTGCTGATTGTTTTCTTTCTCGCAGTAACCCCAAGGACTATGCCGACAATGAAGATGCACGCCAATATGACAAGCGGTTGCGCCCACCCGTTCGTGCTATCGAGCTCGAAATCGACCCGAACACCGGTATGAAGAACTATATCGCGAATGAGCGAGGCGACTGGGCCACCAGCACTGCCTTTATCAAGTTCAGTCTTAGCCGCAGCATTCACTATGGGCGGACCTACACCAATGGCGGACAAAAGAAGGGCAACGAGGAGGACTTGTGTGAAGCACTCCGGTGTCTAGGCCAGGGACTACACACACTGGAGGATTTCGCCGCACACACCAACTATGTTGAGTTAGTGTTGCGCGAGATGGGCTTCAAGAACGTATTCCCGCACACGGGCACTGCGACCCAGATCAACCTTCATGGGCATCGCGTTTTCCCGCTTGTGACGGGAACCTTTGGTATGGTCGATTTCTTCCATTCCGTGATGGGAGAGGCAAATGATCATTTCACTCAATCCGAGGTCAACGAGATGGATATTGCGCTCGGTGATGCCGAAGCGAATGCGCAGTCAAACAACTCCCTAAATGCCTTGACTGGGCTCTTGGGCAAGATCCCCGGTACCAAGGAGCTTGTCAATGAGGCTGAGAGTCTCAAGAGGTCATCAGACGCACAAGAAAGGGCCAACCGGAGCCGTAGTGCTGCGACCGACTATGCGCAGTCTTCTTCCAATAGCCACGAGCGATCCCGTGCCGGGCCAACTCAGTCTTCAGGCGGTGGTTCGAAGCCTGGTTCTGGACTCGATGGCATGCCTGATTTCAACCCTCAGGAGACAGTAGCCAAGATTTATCCCATCCTGGCCTTCAGAGATAAGGTGATGCGAAGCTTGAACTCGATCATTGAAAAGATCCCAGGCTTGGAGTCACTCGTCGAGAAGATCTCTGAGACTTTGACCGTTGTTATCATGTCGCTCCTGGCGCCTTTCATTCGACCTCTGATCAAAGCTGCTTCCAAGTCCATGCAAACTGGATCAGCGGGTGTTATTGATGCCTCTGGCAAGCACCAGTACGAACCGTGGACCGATCCTCACTGCACAGACCCCACCCACTCGTTGCTCTCCAAGGACCACTTTGCCAACATTCTGAATGAGCCTGCCGGACGGGTCGCCTCTGCAATTGTAGAGTATATCGCGCCTCGCGTTCTGTACGCCTGGCAACACATCGATGTTCCCGAGGACGAGGTCCTCAATGACTGCATGCAAGTCTTCCACCACCCAGCATTGCGCAACATGCGCAATGATGCTCATCGTGCAATGTTCGAGGCCGTTGAGAAATGGGCCCACGCCCGCTCAGACCGCGGTGCTTCCCTTGACTCCATCCTGAGCTCGGAGGGCGTGAGATCCGGTCGTAACACTGGCGGGGTGAGCCACACTCACAGCGGTGGTCATGGTGGATTCGCCGCATTGGGTGGTGCCTCGCACAGCCAAAAGCAAAGTCACAACCAAAGCCAAAGCCACGGACACAGTAACAATGGCGGGCATTCATCTGGTGGATTGTCCTCGTTCCTCTCGCAACAAAATCAGCACCAAAACCACCAACAACACTCAAACAGCAGCTCATCCGGCATGCCCTGGGACAAGCTCTCCAGCATCCCCGGCTTGTCTAACCTGAGCAAACTCGAAAGCAAAATCTCCAACTTCATCCCTGGCGGTTTGTCACGCGATGCAAACGACCATGGATCTCAGCAGCACAGCTCATACCAGAGTCACGATGCAGGGGGTAGGTACGAAGCCGCGCACCCTCCTCCACAGCAGCATGGAGGCTACCACCAGCCTCAACACGTACCTCAACAAAGTCACGGCTACCAGCATAACCAGCATCATGAACAGCATTATGGCGGCTCGCAGAATCCTTCGTACTATAGACAACATGATGACCACTCTGACCATCCGCAGCCGCACGGTGCCCACCATGGCCCGCCGCATGGTGGATCTGGACATGGACATAGTCACGAGCATGGACATGGTCGTCCGGGTTTCTGAGGATTGGATGATGCGACGAAGATAAATGATTAGGTTGAATATGTGGAGATCAAGTGCACATGAGATGGAAGTGAGATGTTATGATTGTATTCTAATGAAATCGGAGGGTTTTTCGTGTCGATTTATGTGGTGGAGTTTGGAAAGACGATAAGGTAGGAAGTTCAGGAAACTTAGAAGTCGTACATCCTTTTCTTAAAACTCGTGTGAAACCCGTGACGTTGAGTCAACTTGGCCTTTCTTTAGATTCATATGGGGCTGTTTAGATTCTTCGGGGTATCTCTTAGTCTTAGGGCTCGGGTCATTACCCAGGTGGTTTGGTTACTAGGTTTGTCTCCAACAAACAGCTCTGTTTACTTTGTTTCTTGCCCCGAGATTCTGTCTCATCATTGTCTGATATCTATTCCATAATGGATTTGCTCGTTTCAATAAAAAAAATACAGGATCCAGATGGCCACGCCCCAGTAAAAGCCTGATATAGATACTATAAAGGGCTCCGACGTGAGTGACACACTTAGTAGATGAGATTGATTATGAGATGAGGGCAAGGGGGACTGTTGGTTCCTATTGAATATCCCATTATAGGTGACTGCATACATATATACATAATCCAAAATGGAAGGAGACTCGCTTATGAGCCACAGTATTCCCTTTTTAAGTTTCCAGAATGTTCATATTGGCTGTTTTGTGGGCATTGATTCTCCTAGGACCATCATATCGCCCGCTAGATATGTGTGCCTGTTTCTCTCCGGTTAGGTAGTCATCTAGAAAGAATTCTTACATTTTTCGCAAGGCTTTGTTGGGTATTTTGGCCCTCGTCGAACAAAGGGCAAAGTTGGCTCTTTAGCAGTGACAACACCATTCATTTCCTTTCTACAAATTTATACAAAGAGTTCTTTCAATATCTTTGATTTACTTCGTGTCTAATAAACGCCTACTTTCTCGGATCCAGTGATGAGCCCTACCTAGGCTCCCGCGCTATATAATCCCTTCATTCTTCCCGTCAAGAACAGGAATTAACGGACATTGTTCTGTTCTACACTGCTCCAACTTCAAGCATCCACACTCAACCAAATACCCAGCTACACTCAACCAAATACCCAGCTACACTCAATTGCCTGAGTCCTGCAGCCCATATATCATCATGTCATCTAAAGAGTTCTTCAGGTGGGCAAAGGGTGCAGCACTCTGCAGCGGACCACTGGAGGCCACTGCCCTACATTGCCATATCGCCCGAGCAGGCATCGATACCTGGCCACTGATTGTAGTTGACGAGTTGATCAATGCGAATTACCTTATCTGGACCCTATGCGCCCACCTTGCAGAGTCCGGTCTCGACCAAGATTGGACACGCAAGTTTAACACCCAGCACCGCTCCCAGTGGGTTCAGGCCCAAACTATTGTGCAACAGACCCAGGGTGCTGACCAGTTCCAGCTAGATATCCCAACCCCGCCTATGGTGCAGGCTGTGTTCACCTATATCGATAAGTCTAGGGCCCCCCGCTACCTGACCATCAAGTCCACACCTGCTGGCCCTCGCCCCGGTGCGGGTTTTCTGGAGCTCTTACAATATGCGTCTAGCCCAGACCGTTCCTCGACTGATGTCTTCATTGTAACTCTCGATGAAGAGGATGCGACCGGAGGCACCGGAGCCCCCGGTCCGCCCCCTATGGGTATATTCTCGCGTCGGGCATTCTCTCATTGGACTTAGCAGGGCTCCGCTGTGAGCCATGCCACGCCGACTCCTGCTTACCGGTACCTCTCCTACTTCTCCTTATTAGGCCTCCTAGTGATGGCGAGTAGCAGTTGCCCTCCCTGTCAAAGGGGTTTAGGCCTTATATGAAGCCCATCAGGCACTGACGGTTCTTATTAGGTGAGATTGGTAGCTTTTAACACCTACTTAGAATATTTTCCTTGTCTATATATCTCCTTTATAAGAATGAATGCAGTTGGTTTTTGTCAATTTCTCAATGTATCGAATAGTTGTAGCCCCGACCGTGGTGGCGAGAACCGAGATTAAACCTCTTTTCAACGGTTTATATGGAAGTTTCCTCGGTTTAGAATATTGTAGATCTCTGCAGGTATAAAGAAGCGCACGGACTAAATTTGGGTACAGAGGGCTGTTAGGGCGAGTAGCGCAAAACATAAGCTAACTTCGTGTTGAAGCTAGTATAAAGCGCAAAGATTCCAAGGCACGCCTACCTAAATAATTGCCACAAAGCTTCATCTAGAGAATATACCCATGGTTGGTTTGTCGTAATGCCCAAAAATAATACAGGGCTGTGTAGACTGGTCGCCTGATGTCAAAAATAGGATCCAATAATCGCGTGTAGGTTTAGAGAAAGTACCTACAATTACCACACATGGAGAGTGAGCGGAAGGCCTGGTTTTGTGGCTCGTATCCGTCTGAGGCGTAAGACTTTGTTTCAACGACAATAACTTATCATTCGATAATCTGGTCTAAAACGGTTCCAGGGTTACAAATAACTACAATGTAACTCTACGTCAGCATTCAGTCATGACCTTGCTTTACGTGTCTGTTCCTCGTATTCATGTCTCAGTTGAACGTTTCAGCAATTATATTTCTAAGTATATGTACAGGGAAGAGTATAAGAAGGTCCTCAACACCATCGGTATACCCTCTAACAACAGCGAAGAATCCAACAGCAATAATTCCAAAGGAACAAAGAAACAAAGAAACAAAGGAATAAATTCTAGTCCTGCAAAATGAAGACTATGTCAATTTCTGCTCTCGTCCTGGCGACTGCCACCTCCATCCTCGCTGCACCCAGCCCTGTAGTGCCCGCCCTAGAACCACTGCAACTTACGAACCTCAACGCAGCCATCTACAGCACGAGCCCACCAACAACCTGCCTCCTCTCTTTTGCTCTCAAAGACCCGAACACAAACACCGACACCAAATGCTCTGCTTACTGGTATGTTCTAATCTATCTCCCAACCTTCTCTATGTTTAGGTTGCCCTATAAGCTTAGAACAAAGACATAAATGATACTGACCTTTATGCAGGTCAATTGGAATGCCTGGAAACAAGACCTACAACTGCTCCGACAAGGCATACCAGCTCCATCTCCCAAATGGAATCTATGATATTGAAAACATCGACTTGGGAGTCTCCCGCGCAGACGGCACTGAAAGTGGGCGATCAGTTGTGAGTGGCGACTTGTGGAAATGCGAGAAGCAGGAGTATCCCAAGGCACAGTGCAAGTGGGATGGTATTTTCAGTCTCGATGTGGCTCCGTCTACTTGATTGGGGGGGGTTGTCGGTATGTAAGGGGAGAAGGGAGTATGCTGAGGCTAGGCGGAATATATAGATATGTGGAATGCTATTTTGCTTCCTTAGTTTTGGTCTAATTTAGTCTAATTGGTATCTATCTCTTGCCTTGTTAGCTTTTAAATATACTTCAAATTGTTCTTCCTATATGAGATACTAATATAGGTAGCTGATATAAGATCTAGTAACAGCTCGAGGGATTTGGGCCATCTACAAGAGCTAAAGACGGCAAAACGAACGAATGGAAAGGTGTATCTCAAGGAAGCTCAATACCGCAGCTCTATTCCGTACATTAATTGTTGGAGATCTCTTGAAGGTCAAGTCCATCGGAGCTCCAACGGTAAAATGTCCGCTGACTCATCTTCCCAATTCCAGGCGCTAGGCATCAATTCTATCGACGTCAGTGGTTAGAAACGGGTGGGTTCTTCGGCGCATCATCTTAATAGGCCCCCCGATGAAAAAACCTTGATGATTCAGCGATGATTTGCCGCTATGACCGATAAGCCTTGTCGACACCTGTACAGAGTAAGGGGTATTGCCATACTACTTTATGGACGAGACTACTGGCCCACGAGGCGCAAAAGGGCGGAGCGCTTGCGATCTATGTCGACACCGAAAGGTAATATCCACACTACCTGTGGTGACAGCCTCTAATCTGATTTTGTCGACAGATCCGCTGTGATAAAAAACAACCAGCCTGCGAGAATTGTCATCTTGCAGGACTACCATGTACTTTCTCCCAACCTGTATCCCAACATCGGAAAAATCGACAGTAAGACTACTATATCATTGAGTCCCTCTTCAAGCGCTTACGGGGTACACAGAGAGCTTGCCGACACCAAAGCTCGGGTTCGGGAATTAGAGGCGACCCTGCTCGGACTTAAAGAATCCACAAAACATAGCCACAAAAGGCTAGCCATCCCTTCTCCGAGCAGAAGCTCTTCTCCAGCGTCTCCGAGGCCCCTGTCTCAGACATCTTTATCTTATTTGCCCGATACTCGGGATTTCAATACCGCGTTAGCAGCTTTCCAATGGCACATCTCATATTGTGGGCTCGGGAGTGCTCTTTCGACGCAAAGAGCAGCTTTTTACTCTCTCGTTAAAGAGCAAACAGGTTGTACATTCGATATGGATGAATTTGCTCATGAGGTTACCCAATCTTTCAGCTCGCAACAGCTCAAGTCGACAAAGAAAGTGATTGGGATCAAATGGCCAGGATCTGCTTTAGTCCAACGGTGTTTGGAATATTTTGATAGAAATGGTCTCTATTCTATATTTCCAATTGTCGATGTTGAGGCCATGCAGATTCTACTCAACGCAAATGTTTTAGATCAGCCCCCGAACATGAATCGTGCCGCAAATCGGGCTTGTCTGGTTGCTTTTGCGGCAATGATCACCCATATCCATCGCCATGAGCGAGCTTTCGCCGACGCTGATCCTGATGCTTACTTGCAAGCAGCGCTAACACTACTTCCTGAAATGTTATTAGAGCCCCCCGATATAAGAACTTTGGAAGCGGTGACAATATTAGTAAGTTCTTCGCATGTCCACCCTCCACCCCCTACCGAAAGTGGATCCTATGTATCCCGTGTCTTAGAAGCTTATATGTGGCTATAGATGCTCTATATTGCCCCTCTTGGCAGACCCCAGGCAGCCGAACTACTTCTTGGCATCGCAGTGCAGCTCATCTATAATCTCGGGGCAAACAGAATACAAACCCCCAATGAGATACACAGGAAAGATCAGCGTAGCCAACATCTCCGAGCTTTGTTCTGGCATTGTTATGCCATCGACAAAGAATTCTCCATCCGAAAATCCCAGCCACCCTTGATAAACGACGCCGATTGTGATTTAGATCTGCCTACGACATACGCCCAGGAGACTTCAGAACGTCACTTTTACATGAAGCCTTTGTCATCCAAGGAGCTTCTTTTCCCCTCGGACCTCCGCTTTTCTGTTCTCAAGTCCAAGATCTTCCGGTTACTGTATTCAGTGGGCAGTCAGGCACTGCCCGAAGCTAGACGCATTCAGCATATCCGTGAACTAGACCAAGAACTGAGCGACTTGAAGCTGGGGTATCCCGCTAAATGCCGGCCGGAAATGTTCGCCACCGAGAGCGCACCGGACTATCTGTTCCATGATCTCAGTATCCGCGGAGTGAATATCCATTTGGAATATTACTACTGCCTTGGAAAGATCCACGGGGCGAGTAACTCTTGCAAGATAGTTTCTCCGCAAAGCTGGTCGCCTCTCCCATCTAGCGCAGAGTTGTGCTTTGAAGCTGCAAGGTGTTCGCTGATCTACATTTGGCGAGTCCGCCAATTCGTCAACCGGCATACATTCTGGTAAGAGGCGCTGAATCTTTTCCTACGTGTCTATACTAATTGAGTTTCTTTCGTATTCTAGGCTTCATGCGCAGTTTCTCCTCACGGCCGTTTTTTCGGTCTTCTGGTATCTCATCACGGTTCCAGCTTCATCTACTTTCACAAGAGATCTCAAGACCTTGGAGGATATCGCGGAGCTCTTGGTTCAGCTCGACAAATCGACGGGTGACGGGGAGACTTACCCGCCGCTTTATTTGGCCCAGGCTTTTGTTGAGAGGTTAGTGTCCCTGGCACGGCATTCGCGGCCTCGGGTTGAGGGCACATGATAGGTTTGCTCGATATTCTGGGTCATTTTTCTCTAAAGGTGGCACTTTTGTATATATAACAATCCTAGTACACTCTGTGAGTCGGGCTTTGTCTTTGGATTGGCGTAGGAATCATCTTATGTAAGAGCATATAGACCTCACCCCTAGGCATTGACACATTGACTTCCGCTAGGTATTTAGCCAATTTAATTAATCTGCATTGAAGTTGCATATCCTGTGGTATTATAACATATTTATAGATGGGTATGAAGTGTTTGTATTGACTCACAGAAATTTGTAGCTGTATACCTCAGATGTTCCCTTATCCGATCGGATTTTCCACCAATCCCCATCGTTACAGTATACATCTGCTTTCCCCTCTTCTCCTTGCATATTCCCATTCTCCTTTCCCCTCTCTTCACCTTTCTCTTTTCTCCTTGCTTCTTCTTCTTCTTCTTCTTCTTCTTCTTCTTCATCATCATCTACAATTGCAACTCTTGCCCCTGAACAGGCAACTTCCTAGCATAGCTCAATACCGGAGGTTGAGAAGGCAGAAGACGGAAAATATTTCGACTTCACCTTCTTACGATAACCATCGGCAGATGCTTGGAACCACAACTTACCTTAACGCCAAAGGGATATAAGACATCAAATGTTTTGCTTTATGGTGCATTAATTCGCTCCTCTCTTCAACAGCCCGGCCGGGCTAGCTCAATCGGTAGAGCGTAAGACTCTTAATCTTAAGGCTGCGGGTTCGACCCCCGCGTTCGGCTATTCCTAAAAACCAAACCTGAGATTTCTTTTTTCCTTTTTCTTTTTGGACTTGTTAAGTAATGAAAGGATAATAGTTTAGATACATCATAAATTAAGCCTTTTTTAAAGCGTTGCTATGTCCGTTGATGAATAAAGTGTAGATAAGGTGTCTGTCATGGTTCATCGGTGCCAAGTCGCCTTAGCACATTTCTTTTTTGGGAGTTTTACTGCTGGTATCTGTCTGGTGAGAAAGAGATATATATCTTTGGATCTGACGGGCTGTTTTTTTGAATCTCACATGTTGGAAAAAAAAGTATATCGTCTATTGGTGCAACTAGAACCGTTTCTCTTTGTCAACTATATACAACACGGCCTACACCAAGATAACTCAAATCATCAGTCATACCATAAGCTATAAGATACACATGAAAGCCGAAAATCCGTCGCATCAGACAGGAAAATGCAGTGCCCCGAATTATACCTAAACACAATTTCAAAGCTTCGTCCCCTCGCGTCCACTGTCACTGGGACGCCTAGGCCGAAGAGGCCCCAGGGACTGACCAGCAGCATGGCTCGGCCCAGCCGCTGGTGATGCCATCTGTGTCTGCGCTCCTTCGTTGTTTGCAGTGTTGGTGCGGACAGCTCCTCTCTGCGTCCCCTGGTGAAGGCGAGGGTTCATGAGCCATTGGACCTGCATGCGGACACTGTTGACTGCCGCATTCGTGTGGGCCATGTCTTCCTTGATGCGCAGGCATTCATTCATGATAGCCATGCTGGCGCGAGCGTCTAGGTCTGTGATAGCATATGAGAGTTGGCTGACTTCTTCCCGAAGAGATTCATGCAGTGAGAGTAGATAGGTCGTGGCATTGGAAGAAAATACACTCGCAGCAATGTCCGCAGGATCATCTGTGTGGACGTCGACGCGAGCGGAGGATTGCTGTTCTCGGTCAGATTGGGTAGATTGGCCACCGCTATGACTGTTTGCACCCAAGCGTGTGGATTCGATAAGAGTGGACCGAATGTTTGCCAGCCCATCCTCGAATATCTCATTGCGTTGCTGCAGATGTCGCATACTTGATTCAAGGGAATTGAGCCGGGTGTTCTGCATCTCAAAGTACGGACTCATTGCAAATATCGGGCAGTTTTGTTCATGTACTGCAATGTCTGCCCGTCGGATCTTGACCGGACATGCGTACTTGGACGCTGTACAGGGAACTGCAACCTCCGGACATGATTCAACATGCCCTCTCAGTGCTCCTCTGGTAACAACCGTTTTGCAGTCGACACATGTGACTTCAAGAACCGGACAAAGTTCTTTCTCATGCTCCTACCACAGGCGTTTCCGGTCAGCGTTTATAGAATTCCTAATGAGTTCAAAAGGGCAACGAACCTCGTATTCATGCTCTAGAATATCTTCTTCGCAATAATAGCACCTCCGCACTCTATGAATACACTTTTGATCCATCCCAACGTCCTTGCTTCGCGTCATCTGATCGCATGATTCATCCGGGCACGGCAATAGCCGATACCCGCAGTACTTCTCGACATGCGACTGGACATGGCCCCGGGGTATAATCTCTTGACAGCCCTCCGTTATCAACGGACACCTCACTCGGATCTCGTCGCACATGTTGATCAACAGGCGGGGCACACTAGCCGACACTTTCTGGGTCGGATTTCGGCAAGAGGGACACGGAAACTCGTCCGAGTCGGCCGAGCGGAAGCTGGTGATGGCCGAACTGAGGCAACTCCCACAGAAGACATGGTCACATTGTAGACGAACGGGTTCAACGAAGGGACAGTGGCAGATCGGACACATCAGGTGCGAGTCGTACTCGGAGACAAGATCAAGGCTGCGGAGGTCGATTAGCTCGTCGCGGCCGCGGCTTTCCTCCATAGCTAGAAAGTCTTGTAGATTCATGTTGCGCGGACTTCGAGCCTATCACAAGGCGACCAAAAAAATATGCAAGGTACCAACGGGCTTTTATTCCCTATGTTATTGCCTTCTTGGAATAAAATGCGGAATCAGTGCGCAGGTTCATGCAGCTCTTTGCGCTAGATACCGAGGTGGACCGAATAGTCCAGATCCATGAGGATAACACTCAGAAAACAATCAGTTGAGCGATCGGAAGCAAATACCTGCGAGACGTAGGCATGTTAATGTTTCCGAGCTGAAGAGAAGGCGGGACGACTGCGGGGGGTCAAGGGGAGGCAAAAGGCGGAAAGCGGTTGATCCGCACTTGTTGCCTACGCTTATGATTCTCGTCCTACCATCTCCACCCTCAACCTCGTAAACACCCCAAACAGTCTGACTTTATCTTGCCTGGCTGATCGGAGGTCTCTCTCCGTACTGACCGTCCAAACGCCTCTGATTTATACATCTCAACAGCCTGCCATCTTGATCTCACACATCTCATCATGACGAACCCTTCCCAGCTATTCCTACTCGCCGATCACATCAAATTATCGCTTTTGGAGCGCGAAAGAGCAATCTCACTCGATCTCGAGCCCAATTCCCAAGATGGAGAGATCTCTTGGTCCCTCGAGTCCCTCCGAGAGAGCATAGAGGACCTGGAAGCCGAACAAACCCGGCTAGCCAACTCGCACGACAGCGCAGGCGCCGCCGCCCTGAAAGACCAACTCACTCCCCTCCAAGCCCAATACAAAGATCTGTCGACCCAGTTCTATGGCGCAGATGGCGAGCCATCGGCCAATAACACGACGCAGGCGTCGAAATCCGCCACCCCCGATCTCAAGCAGCCAATTCCACAACATCCACCTTCCAAATCCGTCCGCTTTATGGACAGCTCCGCCGCAGCGGCAGCCGTGCAAGACGAAATCGACGAGGAAGACGAGCGCAATCGCAGCAACCTCTTCCGCCCATACCGTGATGAACCATCGCCGCGACCGGATCAGTCAAACATGGACAACCAGCAGATCTATGACCACCACGCCCAAACTATGCGCGACCAGGATGACCAGCTGGATCGGCTGGGTGAATCTATTGGCAGACAACACCAGCTGAGTATTCAGATTGGGGATGAGCTGGACGGCCACGTTCAACTTCTGGATGGAATGGATGGGGACGTCGAGCGTCATCAGACCCGACTAGACGGTGCGAGACGGCGGATAGATAGGATCCGCCGAAAGGCGGGCGAGAACTGGAGCATGATGACTATCATTGGATTGATCATTATTCTGGTGATCTTGATCGTGATCCTGAAATGATACCCCCGACAGGTGGATGATTGGAGGCTGTTGTTTGATCGCTATTACCTTTTCCTTTTTTTTTTTTTTTGGCAAGCGGGCGTTTACAACTTTACGCAGTACGGGACGATTGATTCTCCTGATGTTTTTAAACAGTGGCTCGAGGCGTTGAGGCGATTAAGTCGCTCCTAGACTCCTGATTGGATTCTTGATCATACTACATCTACAAGCCTACCCTTGATCATAACCTTTTCATGTTCGATTATATGCTCAGACAAAGTGTGTAGTATCAATTGTCATTGACTTAATGCGATAAACTTGAATAAATTACTATAAAAGACTCCCTAATAGCCTTACCCGCAGACTGCCTCAATAAAATACATAGGAATAAACCCAGATCGTGATCAAAAACTTATATAAGGTCGACAGCTTTCACTTATTTCTTATTAGCCTTCTGGTTCGCAAGACGTTTTGTCTTTTCCTGCATCTCCTGGAAAGAGGCATCACCGTCTAACTCGCCGCGATCCGCTTTGACCTAAATCAAAACATATTAGTTCCGATGGAAGATGAATCCCAGGGGTCTATGCTTACGTCCGCCTCGCTGTTACTAGCCAGCTCCGACTTCCACTCTCCCTTGCCCTCCTTGGTGCTCTTGATGCCTTCTTGCTTATGAGATTCATAGTGGTAGGAGAGGTTCTCACGACCTGCTTATGGTTAGTCAGTATGGCTTGGTGAGAAGGTTGATGATGTACTGACCCCGATCATCCTCGTTCAAGTTTCGGATAGCTGAGGAATGGAATGTGGAAGCTGGCACAGCTGGCATGGCAAAGTTGGTTCGGATAGCTTGGCGGGAGGAGGCACGGATGGATGTGAGGAATGACATAGTGATGGTTATGATGTAGGTTGAGGTGAGTTTCGATATGGTACTTTGGCAGACAATGTATGGAAGAGAAGGATTTGAAATCAAGTAATTGGGAGGCTCTTCCGGACATCGGGGGTATTTAAGAGAGCGCACTCGTTTTCCATTTGGTTCTGCCCTGCCAGCTCCTGATGCTTCATGACATCATCGGAGTGGGTCCATTATCTTTGACAAACATACAGTTACATGTAACTATGTGCCTATACATATAAGTAGATATAGTACAGTTTAGAGCGATAAGCTCAAGACTATTCTATCCTTGACATCTTCGAGCTTCGCAGTTTCAATCTATACTAACATGGTGTGGACTGTTTTAGACTCTGTCATCGATATAGGCTCTCCCCGCATAAAAGTGTGGAGACTTCCGGGACATCTGGAACTTGATTTTCTTGCATACATTCAATGTAATCAGTACAATTCGATAGGTCTAGACAAACCAAGTTTAGTATACACTATATTATCACGAGACGAGAGTGAAAAGGTCATCCTGGCCACAGACGTGATCTATAGAAAATATAGAAAATATAGAAATATGAGGGGCTTCGCTTGCTAGGGAAACCTTGGAAGGCGGTTGACCGATTCTACGGGTAATTTTACGGTGAATCATTGCATTTTAAACAGAAAATGGACATGAGAAATAGTTTGATTGAAAAAAGAAAGAAAATAATGTATATTTTAGTATTTCAAAGCACTTTATCAAATATGACCCAACAGAAGAGAAAACAAGCGACGGAATCGATTTGTATACACAGCGAGGGTGATCGAATAGACCGGAAGGCTGTTTGAATGGATGCACGCGTTTTCTATAAATCTCCACTGCCTACATGTATGTAAGATTTGTTTTCAATATCAAATCGTATCTGCAAGACACCATACCTCCAGACCACGATTCTAGTGATACGATGTGTACCTCTGGGATATGTCGACAAAACAATAGCAGCCGCTCCTTTCCCAAGCTCTGTACCCAGAATGGCCTTATATCCGGGAGTATCGAAATCCCAGGTCACCTGATTTAAGGCTGCTGGAGATATGTCAAACATTTGGGAGTTAGGGGGTTGAGTTTCAGCCCAAATTGTTCGTATACAGTCGGTGGTATCGTCGTTGACAACGTTTTCGAGGTAGATGTGTCTCAAGACATTCCGGGCGAAGTGAACATCGTACAGCGCGAGGGCGATTTGACTCCACCAAGGCCCATCGTGTCTGTAAGCATTTCTCAGCACAATAACTCCCATTGCAGTCGTGATATGATAAAAGTTAGTTCCCCTTCCTCTTTGCGGGTGCGCAATGACACTTTCCTTTGAGATCTTGACATCGTGGTAATTTTGTTCACCTACAGGGAGCCCACAATCCGCGAGGTCCTCTTGGAGAGCGCGGGGTCTTTCAATCCAGCGGTTGAAATTTGATGTCCATCTTTGAGACCGGTGTTTAGCATGGGTCAAGTTTCTAAATTCAAACTCTGGTAGCTGTACTGTACAGTTGGGCTCGTTTGCATTATCGATCCATCTTTGTCGCAAGTGTCCCCACATCTCGCGCTCGCCGTACTGATAATCGTTGGGGTTTACGGAAGGGGAGGAAGCAGGCTGAGAGGATGGGAAAAAGGAGCGTTTACGGGGACAGGTACGACTAGCGGAGGAGGGGGGGCTATGTATCGTAGTTCGATAGGATCATCGCCGCCAGGGGGGCCGAAACTGGTGGATCTGGGGCGACGGCGACGGCAGAGACCGAAACAATTCCAGGGACAACAACCAGACATATCTGTGACTGTTTTGGATTCGATCGGAATATATAAAAATAAAGTATCGAATGTTGAGTGATGTATTGAGTGATGAATGATGAACTTGTACTTCTCTGTGTAATACCGAGATAGGTCGAGGATTATATAGATGAGAGTCAAATAGGTGGCGCATACTCGACTGTGAGTATCGCCTTTATGTACATATAAAGGGGATAAAAAAGGAACATAGTGCACAAAGAGTCGATACAAGACAGACAATTATAATGGGGCTACGATCACGGTCTCAAAATAGACACTAAGAAGTACACAAAGAAGTTGAATCCAAAGACACGGAGAACAACGAGCACAACGAGTGCGACGAGAATAGCAATTACATATTGACGATTGTCGACAAAGTGAACATTGTAAACCAACACAAGAGCATAGACAAAGAAATCGACTGCTAGAATACCGATGGCATTATGCAGAAGCCAAGAGGTCCTAGCCTGGTGTATACCCTATTTCAACCAGTTCCGGACGTTTTGCCTTGAAAGATGTCTAATTATGGGATACCCCAAGCAGAACCTAGAGAGCAATGGTGAGCTGTATTATGAGACATTTCTAGTAAAGCGTCTTTCGATCCAAGGTGGGAAGATTTTACAAAAAAGTAGAAGAGGCGAAGAGGAACAGATATTTCTACTTCGGTAACGGGTGGACAATGCGCGAGCAGTCAGGCGGTATTGAAGAACTGGCGTCATATTTGAGACCAAGCAACAAAATGGACATGGAGCTATTTCATGAATATTGGAATGAGTTAGTCAATGGGCGTACTTTCGTCGGGTTGAAAGTTTCAGTAGCTTTTAAGAAATTGCTGTTTGGAGAACCCCAGGCAGTAATCAGACCTGACCATGCCCAGTTCCGGTCCACATCTTCTGCATGTTCTCCAAATGAAGTCACTCTTGTCAAAACAAATCAGACTCACCCAGGGAATGAAGATGGTCTTTTCTACTCACGCTGTTATCGCAGACGCCTTCATTCATGGATATGTTAAATTGCGCCACGGAAATGCGCTCTAAGCTACTTATACTAGAGGACACGATCGGATTGTATAGCTACTACTAGAGCGAGGAGCCAATATTAACGCCCAGGGTGGAGGTTATGGAAATGCCCTTTAAGCCACTCCAACTACATCTGTAAATTCTCTAGGGATATTAGTCGACCTCCTATCTAAGCTAAGTCTGATACGATTGTGAGGATTTGAGACATTCTACCCCTGAACAGGTTTGACACCAGTGAGTAATTAGTATTTCTGTACGGCCATTTCTCCGAGGCTTCCCCTGTATCTAAACAAATCTAAGAGGGAAGAGGAAATGAAACTGCCAATCATTGTCAATCATTGTCAATCAGCTTCACATGTGCAGTAGCGCATATTGTGCCGTTTATTCTTGGCGTAAGACCGGCCACTCCCATATTATAGATGGTAGATCACTACCTAGGTAGACTTCTTCATACGGTTTGGTTGGATTTATGGCACAAAGTTATTAAATCCTATATAATACTCCACAGATCACCTTGGAGACACACGCCTATAGCCCGCTTTATTAATTGGTTTAGGATATATCGCACCTCGAACAACCGAAGTAACCTCTTTTCCAGATGAAGACCATTCTCCTAAGCGTTCTTCTGCCGGCATTAGCCAACGCAGCGGAGACAAGTGGTAAATTTACGGCGCTGAGCTTCAACGTCGCAGGTCTCCCAGAACTTCTCCAATCAAATGATGTTAATGGCACAAAAACCGAAAATGCCAAGCAGCTCGGCACCTACTTCTCGAAGTATGGCTACGATATCATCAATATGCAGGAGGTACCGCTCCATCCACTCCTAATATATCAATTGATCTGACCACGATTTAGGATTTCAACTACCATGCCAATATCTATGAAACAGATAACCACGCCTACCGCACCGCTACATCCGGCGGCGCAGCCATCGGAAGTGGCCTGAACACCATCTCCACCCACGACTGGGTAGATTTCACGCGCGTGAAATGGAACAAATGCTCCGATGCATCCGGCTCAGACTGTTTGACCCCGAAGGGCCTGACATTCATGCGCTGGAACCCGGCCGATGGAGTCTATGTCGACTTCTATAACGTCCATGCCGACGCTGGGTGAGTAAAAGCTATTGTGAAATTGTAATCGATCCAAAAACTGACTCCCGCCAAGCACCGAGGCTGATGACGAAACTGCCCGAAACTCCAACTTGCAGCAAGTCGCAGATTACATCGACACCTGGTCGACTGGTAACGCCGTCGTAGTCATGGGCGATACGAACAGTCGATACACGCGCGCCGAGGACACGGCAATTCGCGTCTTCAAGTCGCAGAATGGCCTCGCAGACTCTTGGGTCGAACTTGAGAAAGATGGCGTCTACCCTACAGCTGGGGCAGATGCCTTGCTATGTGACAACCCGTCCTCTATCCAGACCTGCGAGACGGTCGATAAAGTGCTGTACCGGGGGTCTGATGTTGTGACCCTCAAGGCAGACAGCTTCGTCTATGATGGCGGGAAGTTCACAAACACTGACCCCAAGTATCTGGGAGCTGTTCTCTCCGATCACAACCCGATTCTTGTGAATTTCACCTGGTCGCTTTCGTCATCGCTGCGACAAAGTCAGTTCTCCGGTGGTCCCCACGGGACTTGGTTTAATGATCTGCCAAAGATCCCTTCATCACCTGTTGCTTCTGTGATCACCTTCTCGGGTGATAACAGGCTGGATTCTGTTGCTTTGAAGTTGAAGGATGGCACATCGTTTAGCCATGGAGGAACTGGTGGCACTAAGGTCTCCCTTACCCTGGGCGCTGGGGAATATTGGACGGAAACCAAGCTCTGCACTGGACAGTATGATAGCCACACTCGCAACTTTTACATCGAGGCTACCACCAGTACTGGTAAAACCTTGAAGGCAGGTACCTCAACTGATAATTGTCAGACGTTTACTGCCCCCGATGGCTTTGCGGTTGTGGGTTTCATGGGACAAGCCGATGACGAGGTCGATCAATTGGCTTTGGTGTATGCGGCCTATTGAGGGTCGAGAGAAGCGAGCACTTGAGATATGAATCCGAATTTGTGGGGAATATGCATGTGTTCATTTGCCATTTTGGCCAATCATATCAAGTCATGGTTCATGCTATGTATGTCCCAAACGCCGAGGTATTTCGTAGAAAACCGATATGCACCACGCTGTGTAAATAAGCCAAAGAGAAAGCACTTTAATCAATCATATCCTCTGGCAGAACATCATCCGGGTTTTCCCCAACCGCTTGTCCCACTAGGCGCACGACGCGCTTGATTGCCTTGGATGCGGGGCTATCCGGGAAGTTATCCACAAAGCTTTCGCCAAAGTCGCACGCCATGCCAACGCGGGGATCCAGAGGGACAGCACCTAGGAAAGGAATGCCCATTTTCTTCGCCAGCCGGCGACCGCCGCCGGTTGTCGCTCGGAATATTTGCGACTCGTGAGTGCAGCTAGGGCAGACAAACCCAGACATATTCTCTACCAAGCCCAATACCTTAATGCCGGCCTTGCGGCAGAAGTCGACCTCCTTGCGAACATCCAGCAATGAGACCTCCTGCGGGGTAGTCACGACCACGGCACCGTCAACACCAGACTCCTTCAGTAAAGAGTTGACAGACAGATGCTCGTCAGAGGTACCCGGAGGTGTATCGACAATCAGGTAATCCAGCTCGCCCCAGTCCACATCCTTGAGGAATTGCTTGATCAGTCCGTTCTTCTTGGGCCCGCGCCAGATCACCGCATCGTCTCGGTTGGGTAGCATGAACTGCACGCTCATCGCGCCCAGGTTATCTGTAACCCATACGGGACTCCAGCCGGCGTTGCTAATGTGAATAGTCTCCGACTCCACGCCCATCATTTTGGGGATCGACGGCCCGCAGATATCGGTGTCCATGATACCGACGGTAGAGTCTGGGTTGGCGGCGAAGGCGTGCGCGAGAAGGGTTGAGAACGTAGATTTGCCGACTCCTCCCTTTCCGGAGAGCACTAGGATCTTATGTCGTATTTGGGAGAGTCGTTCGGTGATGATTGGGATGTCGGGGTCGGGGCCTTTGGGTGCGGTGGCGCAGATCTGTTGGTTTGGGCAACCGGCACAGGCATCGCCTTGACCAGCTTGCTCGGATTCAGGGCCTGGACAGTGTTCTGCATGGAATTAGTGTGTAAATTGTGTCAATGATTCTGCGCATGCGTACCTGGTTCGGGAGCAACAAGATTGGGAGGCGCCTTGGACGACACTGCTAGAGACTCCTCCGAGAACTCCTCCACGTAGGGCGCCATTTTAAGTTTCTTCTTTGTGTGGCAATGTATGTGAGAGTAAGCGACGGAAAATAAGAAGATAAATGCTATGCAATCTCAAGAAACAGAAATTCGACGTCCGGTGGCGGGTTGATGCTTGATAAGCGGGGATGACTAAAAAGCCGCTGCGATTGGCGGGGCAAGGCATATCTGCGGTGTCGGAGCCCTTGCAGCCGAAGTGTATGAGAACTATTTCCTTGGATATGATCCCTATACTAGCTGAAGCTATGAAATACTGGAGAGTAATGGGTATACCGTACAATAAATGGGTAAATCAATTAGGAAATAAAGGATGGTTAGAGAACCAACCTCTTAACAAACCACTATGTAGTTATGATGCATACCCAGCTATCTCTTATGTCCATTTGCCAAGCCAACCAGATCTCCATATTTTAGTGTATTTGTAGTTGCAGTATACTGACCGGCCTCCGGTGAGACCGTCAATATCATGGCCGAATGAGTATCGGTTGATGCTTCGAAGTGCTCCCGCAGCACCATAGTCAGCGAAGAGGAACGGTATGGGATACGTGATTTCTTGCTTGATCGGGCTCGGATTACTTCTTTCAACGCGAGAAGGTCAGTGTTTATCTGCCTCCCTTCTTGCTTCTCTTGGGGGGTTTGTTTGAGCGCAGACCCAGTCGTGCTGGAAAGGAACTCAGCACCGGCCA